TATCGAGACGCCCCCTCAGAGAACACTGGGGGATGGGGACTCTTTGATTGCGGTAAGAGAGCCTACGGAAATACAAGTGGATTGAATCAAGCACTAGATTTCGGATTTTATATTCAGATTGTTTTATTTGGAATGGCGACTCATTCCCATCCACTCCTCAAGCAGGTACTAATAGCTAGTATTTGATGTTGTAATACTGTAATGGTGTTCTCTGGGTTGTTGTATGGTACCCCGTTGTCACCAATTGACAATAAATTGACCCCCCCCCCCCCTTTTTTTTTTTTTTTTCTTTTGAGGGGGTGTAGATGAAATGTTTGATAAATAAGGGCATTATTTTTTGTTTTAGTATCTTCTGAGAGCAATAAGATTACTAAGGAGTTTTTATATTATTTTTGAAGGAGGGTACCATGCTACACCCATACCAAATGTTGTAGTATCATCTCTAAACAAGTAACATCTTCTCTCTTAGACCTGAGGCCATCTAGTTGGAAAGAGGGGGGTGGGGGGCGATGAGGAAATATGGACCTGTCCCATCTAGGAGAGCAGTTCCCTTGGCAAAATATCAGACCTGCAGTTTGCTGCAATATTGCTTCAGACTGCAATTCCTTCTTGCAAATTTGCAGCAAATTAGCTGCAATATGGCTGCAAAATCAGTAGCAATTGATATTGCTGCAATGTTGCAGCAAACTTTTCATTTTGCTAAGGGTTTGTTTGAGGCCCGCCCATCCCCAGTGCTTCAGTGGAATCTTTTCCAAAATCTAAGTTAAATAAAATAGGATGAAGAAGAATGTTTGGGATTTTTTTTTTCCTCTCACAGTGGGTCTTAGGTTTGGGGATACAAAGTACTTGTTTATTGATGTTTGATGTCATTTTCTTTTCATTTTACAGCTTGCAAGGACATTGGTGTTTAACATAATTTTTTTGTCGTGTGGTAACTGATAATTCACGATGCATGTGTGTTCTCTCCCCCCGTTATAGGCACTTAAGGTTCTTCGGTCCTCCGAGTTTTCCCCTTTTGTAGTATTCATAGCGGCACCAAGCATGGCAAATCTGGCAGACCCCAAGTTTAGCCAGATTAATGTAAGTGTAAAGCCAGGGGAGGTTTTTTTTTTTTTTTTTTTTTTTTTTTTTTTAATGAAATTCATGGCATAGGATGGGGATCTGAATACTTCCTTAGAAACTACTGACATAATTTTAATTGAGCACCAACTGGGCTAATTACATTCTATTAAATGAATGGGTTTAGATTCAAGCTGTTTCTGATAATTTTCCGTTATCAATGGAAGTGGTGTAACCGCTGAAATTGTGCCCCTATTTTTAACTGTGAAGATCCCATTCCTGGGGATTCTAAAGTCTCATTCACAATAGATGGCCTAACCGATCCTCAGACTTAATATGGCTGACCCCATTAAAAGCAATGCCGCCCTAATCCCTTATGGTCTCTCCACCTCCACACGCACCATCCCTGCAGGAGCCTGTACTTAAACCTTGGAGCCGAGATTTAATCCCATTACTTGCAAGGCCCCTGTAGGCCTGGTCCTTGTGGTAGGCCGGGAGGCCTTTAGGGGATAAGGTGGCATCGCTTTTAAGTGGGGCTGGCCATATTTGATCTGTGGACTAGTTGGTCTGTGGATTATCTGTTCTGAATGTGGCCTGATTGGCTGTCTGGGTATGTCACAGTAGTCTAACAGGTGATCAGTGTGTCCTTTTGTCACTAGAGTGTTTACACGTTTGTTTGCACATAGTTTTCCCCCGTGGCCAGGTGTATAGAGTTTTTAAATGCACTAAAAAATTGGACCTTTCTTCTGAAATCAAAGAAATGCGTAAAATTAATTATTATTTTATGATAAAACTTAATAGCATAATGTATTATATTGTGACTTAGAATCAAGCACCATTTATTTATTCATTTATTTATGAAGTCTTTATTCTTTTTTCATTTTATTTGGGTTTCTTGAATCTAATTTCTGTTCTTTTATATTCATGTTACTTCTCTAGGATGGAAGTCTAGAGCGTCTTGCAAAAGAGAGTGATCTCTTGGAGAAAGCTTATGGACATTACTTTGACTTGAAAATTGCCAATAATGACATTGAGGAGACCATACGTACATTAGAACAGGCCATCGACGAAGTATGCACCACTCCACAGTGGGTGCCTGTCAGCTGGGTGTATTGAAAACAAGGAACGTGATCAGTTTGATGGAGTGGATGCTGAGGTTGATAGGAAAAAAAGGCTTGGGCTTTCAAAAGAAAATACATTTTGATGTAAAACTTTGAATTGGGATGGAATTTGGAGAAACGTTGAGTGGCGGTACTGGAATAAAAACAAGGCTGCTGCGGGGGTATTTGTTGGCTGCGAGTAGCCAAGAACTCTGGGTACTGCTTGATGAAGTGGCAACTGATTCAAGAAGGAAAAAGAGCTCAAGTTAGGGGAAAAAAAAACAAAAGAACTCGAGAGTTAGTGGTTAGACCTAAGGTTTGAAAGTGCATTGGACTGCTGATTCACCCTTACACAGTATAACAATTTTTTTAATAGATGGAAATATTCTGGAAATTTTGAAAGCAGAAAAAAAGATGCACTTTTATTGTGAATATTAAGTTTGGTTTAATAATTAAGCAAAATCGAAATGTAGATTTTTAAGTGAAAGGGAACCTTGTTAGTGAAATGTGATATTAAGCTAGAGCTCATTTTGTTAGATGATGAGGAATGATTACAAGGAAGAACCTTTTCTTTTCATTTTAATACTGCCTCTTTTGACATAGGGAATAAAGATGACCACTTTATATCGAAGGCTCCCGTTATTATTTCTGTAGGGAGGTTTATGCTTGGGCAGCACTGCATTCTGGGAAGATATATTTGGAACTGTTAACAGTCCATAGTATTAAAAAATCCAAATGTTTGATTTAACTGTAGTATGATTGATTACAGTTGATTGATTTAATTTTCAAGACATTTAGTCTTTACATAAGATGGGTTTGAAATCAGGAAAAGTAGGTTGCGGCTTCTTGCATGAGAGTGATTATTTTATATGAAGAATGTGAACACGATTAGTAAGTACTGGTATGAACTGCTAGTGTCAAAGCAATATTTTTACTTTCTTTTCAGTAGGTAGAAATCAGTTATAGCATTTGCTTATCATATAATACTAGTGATGGTGTACAGATTTCATCCAAGTAGGTTAGGAAAAATGACTAGAGGGGTTTAGATTTTTCTTAGGTGATTTTTTTTTATTATTTTAATTAAGAGTATATTAGAGATAGTAAACAGTGTTAATAGACAGGTAAATTTGATATTAGATGTATCTGTTTCACTTGTTATAAAACTGTAGGGATTATATTACTAAGTATTTGAAATAAGGATTATTATCATGTATAAAATTTGAAAATTTATCCAATTGTTATAACGCATTTTAAGCCAACCAGTAAGTTCCCATGTGGTTCAGTTTTTGGGGACCTATGTCCAAGTTCAGCATTTTCGTATTTTACAAACATGAGGCAGTCGTACGTGTAGAGACAAACTGCACAGTTTGGGTGACCAACAAGTACCAAGACAATGGTGTATCATCCCCTCAAATTGTGAAGGTTTTTTTGCCTGTAGGTCCAGTGTAAAAAGTGTTCATTGCCATTTGTTTATCTCAGCACTTCTGTACAGTGCATTTACTAGCATATTGATATAGATTCCGCTAGAATCCGGCATTTCTAGTTTTTTCCATATAGAGAATTCCTGTGGGACAGTTACACTGCACGGTTGGTGGGTTATATCTTTTTTTTTTTTTTTCTACAGAAATGTACAAAGCATTATGAAAATATAAGACGGCTAGGTGGCACATTAGTTATCATGATTATTTCTTTTTTACACCTTTTTATAAAAAAATCTGAGACACTGGCTTGTATTGGCTGGGCACTTGGTTGTCTGAAGAACACTTGTGAGTGACACCTAGTGGTAGATTTTGTTTTTATGCTCTGTGTATTTTGTTGAGATGCTCATTTGCTTGTTGTGTTCGGAAATGCACATTCAGACCTTCAGCCAGCATTTTAAAGGATTTTTTTCTCAAAAAGTGGTCTTCTTCACCCTTTAGTTAGCCCATTTTGTTAAATATCATAAAACCCAGATCATAATTTTCTTGCTATTATTCAGAGCAGGTTATTTCCTACCAAATGTGTGTTTTTTCCAACCCATACCTCCCCTACCCCACCTACCTACTGACATTTTAACTTTCAGAACCAAGGCCTGCCAATTTTTTCTCTAAGAATTGATTTGGAATTCATAAATCTTCCTTTCTTAAGATTTTGTTTTGTCATGTGATTTTTATTGTTCTGAAAGACACCAGTGCTGAACCCCCCCTCCCCCCCCCTTGTTTATGAATGCATATTATCATTTTCATTAACATATACAAGCATATTTTCACTTGGTGGGAAAAAGTAATAGCATTTGGTGGTTTCACTTATCTCACATAATCATAATAGCATTTGGAATATTATTTGATGGCTTTGGTTACTGAAAACTAAATAGGTACAGAATGTTAAAAAATAGATTTTTAGGTGTGATGCACGTATCTTTTTATTTAGAGGCCAGGGTAGGTCACATGAACAGAAAAAATTGCAAAAGACATTCTTTATTTATAAATTTTGGGTAGAAGAAATGAAGTCTGCTGTGTGCCTTTTTTATCTTATTTAGGAAAACCCTTTATCCATCTGTATTAATTTTTTTTTTTTCATTTCCCTGTCCCAAAATGTAAACGTAACGCAGTGGCAAAATCGCTCGCCTTTTGGTTATTCAGGTCTATTAAGTTGTCCACACACACACACACACACACACACACACACACACCATCCTCATCCCCCCCCCCCCCTTTTTTATTTATTTATTTTTTTTTTTTTTAAGAACCCCCTGTCTGCCGCTCCTGAGGTAGTGTTTGGTGAAATAATTCACAGCATATTGGTCACTCATACCGGCTAGTTCACGGTAGGATGACCACTGTAGTTGACCATTCATTGTAATTATGCACACTACATTGTACATTGTATAACGACCACTTAATTGATATATTAAATACTGCCTCCAATATGACTCGTATTTTTGTTGTGATTTCCTTCCGCGTATAACGTTTTAGCCTGAGCTTGGACATAATAACGAATATAATTCTGTCCAAGGCCTGAACAAGAGCAGAAACGTGTTTNAACGACCACTTAATTGATATATTAAATACTGCCTCCAATATGACTCGTATTTTTGTTGTGATTTCCTTCCGCGTATAACGTTTTAGCCTGAGCTTGGACATAATAACGAATATAATTCTGTCCAAGGCCTGAACAAGAGCAGAAACGTGTTTAACTTTTGAAAAATATTCGGTTTCAACATTTTTTTCACGAGTACAAGATCGTGTATATTTGTATCCATTCAGTTCTGCAGCCGTGGTGTGTGTGTGTGTGTGTGTGTCTATATATATATAGAATACTGTTAGGTACACGTACAAACACTTCCTCACATTTCCCATGTGGAGTTCCGTATTTTATCAATTTTCAAAGCTCGATGTCAGCATCAATATATAAATCGACAGAAAAGTTTCAAGGCATTGTGTTTTTATTTGGTTGTCCATTAAAGATATATATTGACTTGCGAACTTCAATTTCTATAAAGGTATGATAAGGTAGAAGTGAGAAATCATTCCGACCGACCCCCCCCCCCCCCCTCCCGCGCCGACGAGTTTGTTGGAAAACTTGGAGGAGTCTATAACCTTGTGTGAGTATGTATGTGGGTATTAGGCCTATATAGATTAAACCATCATCATTATTATTACAAATGCCTACTGGTAGCACAAAACGACTTGGAACAGAGATAAGACGCAAGTCAAGCTCGCAAAGCACATTTTAGGCGCAGTCTCCCGGTGATTCCCTACGTGAAGGGAAAGATGGGCTCTGAAGGGCAGTTTTGGGAGGTGATCTCTCTCAGTGATGCCCTAGGTAAAGAGAAAGATGGACTTCATAAGAGCCGATGAGGGGAGTGTTTCCTCCTGTTTATAATTTATTTATTTATTTATTTATTTATTCATTATACAGTGCATATAGGCTACTAGTATATAAGTCACTGGAATCTGGCATAGAGAATCCCTGTATGACAGTTACGCTGCAAGGATTGGTGAGTTATAGGCCTATCTTTTTTTTTTTTTTTTTTTTTTTTACAGAAGTGTACAAACAATTTTTTTTTATGAAATAGTGAAAGATTACCTTTTCGCCGGATATTCACATATATTTCTTTGTCAAGTATGGACATCTCTCTGTAAGTTGTGAACGGGGGGGAGGGGGGGGTTAGCGAGGCTTTGACGTCACCGCTCGCTGTAGCTGCTAGTAGTGTGTCGTGAATAGGAGGACTTACCACACGTGTGTACTTAACTACTGCAGCAGGTCGAGCAATATTTCGGTCAATTTGATGTCAAGAATACTGTGACTTCGCAAACCTTGATTCTGCGCATATTGATCCTAACTTCGAAGAAAAAAAAGCGACATTAGGGGGAAGAATTCAAGACTTGAAAGTAAGTTTCACTGATAAAAATCGTTCTCGTCTGTGTAAAAGATTCCGATAAAAAGCACTAATCTTTTCGAGCAATATATGTGGCTAGAGAGACTAAATAATTCAAGGGACCTTTTTTCGTTTATGGTTTACTTGAATGTTGATTTGGCTTGAAAAGCTAGTTAATGTCAGAATGATTTTGTCTATCTACTACCACTGCTGTTACTAGTAATCCGTAGTCTTCACTAATCAAACACAGGTACAGAAACTGGATGTTTTCATTTGATTACGTTATTCTGTTGATTCCTGGAAAAGTATTTGATACATTTATACACTCTTTTATATTTTTTGCTACGTCAGATAGAACGTGGAGATTTCAAGAGAACTTTGTTTCTGATTTTGTGCAGAAAGACGATCAAAGTAGGACCTTGCTTTTCCCCTTTGTTTGCGCTGGGCTATCAAACGCAGGACCGACTCACCGCCCTAAAGCTCGGAGTAGTTTCTTAAATCTGTTTTAATGAAAATCAATAGAAAACAAACTGACAAAGGCAGTCTTTCCACCTGCGCCCCTCGAACGCCTTGCAAACCATGGGAGGGAGTTTTGCTCACAACAAAATATGCGCCGACTCGTCCGTTTTTAACCATTGTAGTAGGCCTACTCCGTCCTTAATAGTGCATTGTGATTCATGATTCAGATATAGACCATATATACTTATTTGAAAGAATGGCCACGACACTAACTGAATTGTTTGCATCTGCGCACTCCTTTGCCTTGTCATCACTAGTTCGAGCATACCCTACCCCTCATCACAGCGAAATATCTGTAAATACATGCCCAGAGGTGGGTATCA